CCCCCACCTCCTCACCACCACTTACGATGACTGTGATTGACATCGGGGACCTCTCTTGCCACAGACTCACACCTCACATAAAGGTAAGTAGGTTAGGCTAAGAAAAGAAATGGTGAAAGGAATAAAAGTGAAAGCAGACAGAGCAGAGGAGCCGAGCGTGAGAAGGAGCCTGCTGCACTGCACTGCTACTCCATCGCTAGTAGTCCCACAACCTGCTCATGTACAACTTTCAATTTCTGGCCTTGCCAACGATTGTGACGGCGATGAAAACATATTTTTTATAAAAATCATCTGATGCCGTACGCTGATCCCTTGCTATGTATAGGATGTGACAGTTCGGAGCAGGCTCAATGGGCCAAATGGCCTACTGTTGTTCCTGTTTCTCATGGTGTCTCCAACTTAATTTCTCTGTGTCTCTCTCTCTGTGTCTCCCCGCAGTACTCTGGTTTTCAGCAATCTGCTGATAAGTGTTTTGCCTGTGGCCACTTGATAATGGATATGGTGAGTTCAGAATGAATTAGTCGCTCGCTTCTAGAAATGTGCTAATTCTGAGATTTCACAGCATTTGGAGCCAGTCTGTCTGAAATCTGCAGCCTCTGCAGTAACTACATTCCAGCCCCTTCCCCAGCCCAAAGGCTACAGCTCATTTACCTTCAGAGGGAATTCATCTTGAAGTTATTTGATATCTGCTCTGTATTTCATCCCTCTTTCCGTAACCCAGAATCAGTCCTGGTTAACAAAGGCGTTTTGCCAGGTATTTGCAAACAGGTTAAAAACAGAAGCCCAGCAGAATATTAACGAGTAGAGTGTTTAAGTTCAAAGGCTTTCTGTTTTTTTTTTTTGGGATAGTTTGATTTTGGGACAGAGCAGGAGCCAGCAACCAATGGCTCTAGAGTTGGATACAAGTCCTTAAAATCTCATTTTTGGTTCCCAACTTTCTCCAGTAAGATTGTGTTCATTTGAGGGGAAAAAAAACTGCAAGGTATAAGCCAAGAAAAGTAAGAACCTTGGTTTTTTTTATTATGGGATAAAAGGCAAATCATTTTGCTGTGCCTTAAGGTTTCAACTGATTGTTTTAACATAAAGAAAATCCTTGTTTTGCAAATAGTTTTAGCCACACATTATTTCTAGATATATCCTTTTGAAGCCTTTACCATTGTTTGTAATGTAGCTGAGACAACAAATTAATGAATATCTAATTAAAACCTTCTTTTAATCAAGTGGAAACATGGTTCAGTTGAAAGGATATAGTTCAATACATGTGGTTTTATTTATTGTAAAAGTGAATTATGTGTTGCTATCGGACACACTGGGGAGTTTGCCAGGAGCAGCGAAAGCCACGTTATTTGGTAAAGCTCAAACTGAAATGCTCCCCTTGTTTTTCCCACACTCCACGTTCTCTCCCTCTTTTGTACAGGTCTTCTCGCCACCTTTTCCTTCTTCTCCCTCTCCTCTCTCTTGACCCCCACACTGCCGCCCCCATCTCCTATTGCCCTGATCCCTTCCCTCGTCCACCCTGTGCCCCCTCCCTTATGCCCCCTTGCCCATCTCTCATTTGCCCTGCACGTGCCCTGTCACCTCTGTCCCTTGCACCCCCTCCCTTATACCCCACGTCCTCCCTTGCCCCCCCAACTTTGCCACGCCTTCATCCACCCCTGTCTCCCTCGCCGCTGTCCTGTTTCCCTCACTGTCCCCCTGTCTCCCTCGCCACGCCGCTCACCCCCTACATCTTCCTCGCACCCCATCCTGTTCCTCCACTCCCCCACCCCCACAATTTAATCAGTAATGCTGTCGAGGATTATGAGGAAAGTGGAGTTGAGGACGATCAGATCTACCACGATCTTATTGAATGTTGGAACAGCGTTGTTGGCCTGAATGGCCTACTTCTGTTTCGGGGTCTTACGGAATACGTGGCAATTGCTTGTCTCCCAATGTCCTGCTTCAGATAGGGATCCTGCCAAAGGGTCCTCTGTAAATGGAGTTTTGATGTGAACTGTACCAGAGTCTAATGTATAGTGGGCTTCTCGGTATCACCAGAGCCTGGCCACTCACCTGACAATAGAAAATGTTGGTGATGTCTTAAGGAACTGCAGTCTCCTCTTCATCACTCACACGTACATTGTCTCTGTTAGATCCTGCAGGCTTTGGGTAAGTCCTACCATCCTGGATGTTTCCGCTGTGTCATCTGTAATGAGTGCCTGGACGGTGTACCCTTCACTGTAGATACTGAGAACAAGATCTACTGCATCCGAGACTACCACAAGTAAGAGCGACAGCTGTTCTGTATTGGTGTATTGTGGTAAATAATCTTCGCCCTCCCTCTCTAGCTTTGAGCAGCTTTGAACAACTGAACAGTTTTGGGCCCCATAACTAAGAAAAGATAGACTGGCCCTAGAGGCAGCCCAGAGAAGGTTCACTCGGATGATCCCTGGGTATGGAGGGACTGTCTTATGAGTAGAGGTTGAGTAGATTGGGCCTGTATTCATTGGAGTTTAGGAGAGGGAGCGGTGACCTAATTAGAACCTACAGGATTCTTAGAGAACTTGAGGGGGTAGATGTAGATAGGTTGTTGCCCCTTGTGGGAGAGTCTAAGACCGGAGACATGATCTCAGAGTAAAGGCTTGCACATTTAAAGCCAAAAGGAAGGGGAATTTCTTCTCTGAGGAGAGTGAATCTGTGGATTAAAGCAAAACAAAACTGCAGATGCTGGAAATCTGGAACAAAATCAGAAAATGCTGGAGAAACTCAGCGGGTCTGTGGAGAGAGAAACAGAGTTAACGTTTCAAGTCCAGTGACCCTTTGTCAGAACGGGGTGTCCCTGTTAGAAAAGAGTTAGGCCACAGATCAACCTTGATCTCATTGAATGGTGCATCAGGCTTGAGGGGCTGAATGGCCTACTGCAGGTCCTAGGTATCTAAATCTCTCTCTTCTCACTGAGGAAAGCAGTCCCAAAGTCTCCAATTGAGGTTATTGTTGATGGAGCATTTTGTACAGAAGCAGCCCGACACTTGTTTTTATTTAAATCTCCAGCCTCTGCAGTGTCTGCCTTTTTGTTTTAGTGCCTCATTGGACCTGTTTGGGTTGGAGGACTGTGAGGGATTGAGTCACTAGGACAGGACAGCTCAATGTGAATCAGGGAGACAGAGGGGGGGCCGGGAAATGAAGTGTTTTAAAATTGTACAAAGTCACATGATGCAAAGTTTAAACAAGGAATTGTTCGCGGAGTTGGTAGAGTCAGATTCCAAACCCCAGAACCTGCTCTACCATGTCTCGTCTCCCCTACCACCCCGTCCCTGGGTCTTGTCTCTCTCTCTTTCTGTGTTACACATGCACACTATCTCACACGTACATGCGCAAACACGTACAATAAGACGTGGCCAGTGTAAGATGAAAGAATATATACTTGCCTGCCCGCTGTCTGATTGATCTGCTTGTACTTTCTATTTCAGAGTGTTAGCTCCAAAGTGCGCTGCGTGTGGCCAGGCCATTCTGCCAGCAGAGGTCAGTACTGTGCTCAAATTTCTGAAGAAGGCTCCAGACCTGAAATGTCAGCCTTCCTGCTCCTCTGATGCTGCTTGGCCTGCTGTGTTCATCCAGCTCTACACCTTGTTATCTCAGATTCTCCAGCATCTGCAGTTCCTACTATCTCTGGTGCTCAAATATCTGTTTGGTTTTGGTGGAATCATGCAACTTGGGACGAGTGACGTTTATTACCCATTTTAGTCATTAATATCCCTCCCTTCTGGGCTGCTGTGAACCACCATCGGTCTAGCTGGTGTTGACCCCGTCCCATGTTGACTGCATCTATTTACAGTTCTAGTAACTGCTGTGCCATTTATTTCATGGGCAGTGTTTTCAGATTAAGGCTCAGATCTCACTTTCACAGAAACATGGAGAATCTGAGAGCAGAATTATTTTAGTAATTAAAGTAGAAGTTGCTGGAAAAGCTCAGCAGGTCTGGCAGCATCTTTGGAGAGAAAATCAGAGTTAACGTTTCAGGTCCGGTGACCCTTCCTCAGAGTTCTTCTAGACACAGCAACTTTTGTTTTTGTTTGTGATTTACAGCTTCCACAGTTCTTTTTAGTTTTTGTTTTAGTAATTGTCTGTGTTCGGGGGATATACTGTACAGTAAAATCCCATGACCCAGTGTAAATTAAATCCTGTTCCTATGATCCAGTGTTAGTTAAAATCCTGTTCTTGTAATTCAGTGTAAATTAAATTCTGATCCTGTGACCCAACATCACTTAAAATCCAGTTACTGTGATCTGGTGTAAATTAAATCTTTGTGTTCCTGTGTGTTGCTGTAAATTAAATCTGTTCCTGTGAGCTGAATTGTGTTCCTGTAAATAATGCATGTCCCTCAGTTCTGTCGCTGAGCTCTAAGCCTTTGATTTGGCACCTCTCAGTGGTTGCAGGGAAAAGTGCACTGTTGAGCTCTTCTCATTTGTACACATGTCAGGACTTTGGATCTTTCCTCTTAAAAGCGTTGACTGCGGTCAGCAGTGAGTAGCGCTAGGGAGCCATAATTATTCTGCCAGAAAATAATTAAAAGGCTGATGGGGTGCTGGCCTTCATACCTGGAGGCCTGGAATACAAGGGAGTAGAACTTGTATCTCGGCTTTACAAAGTCTTCATTCAACACACCTGGAATTGCTGTGTGCTGTTCTAGGCATCATGCATCAGGAAGATTATCTTGGTCTTGGAGGGAGGGCTCTATGTAGATTCATCAGGGGGTTGTCCTGAGTTATATTACAGTGAGAGCTTACTCCAACTGCTGTTCCAGTCTCTGGAGTTGAATTGATCAAACTTTTCAACATTATTAAGGGAAACAGAATTAGAATTAGAATTAGAATAAGCTTTGTTGTCACACGTACTCCAAAGAGTACAGTGAAAAATGTACCAGTCACTGCTTACAGTGCTGTCTTGGGTTCAAAGGTACCTAGGCACAGCTTCAGTTACAGTTCTTAGAAAACTAGAGAAGTAAGAAGTCCAGCATTGCAGATTTTAGGAATAAACTATAAAATGGAGGAAAAAACGTTTTGGTAGCTTGAAATAATTTCTTTGGGTGGGTGGATGCAGCATTAGGGGTTAGTGTTTAAGGAGCCTGGTACATGGAGTTGGGTCACTGAACAGCCATGATCTCATTGTGCTGCAGGGAGGAACAGACTCAGTGGGATGAATGGCCTCCTCCTGTTCCTGTGTTTCCAGTGATCCTGGGATCCGACTGGCTGAGTGTTCCTGGGAAGAGCTCTGTGCATTCAGTGCTTCCCAATGGAAGGTGATCGCAAACCTCTCCTCATTGCAGGTTTGCAGGGAAACACAAGGAGTTTAGAGAAGAGGAAAGTAGAGTTACCTTTGGATCTTTCTGTATTTGCAGGGCTGTGATGAAACCATTCGGGTGGTCTCTATGGATAAAGATTACCACGTGGAGTGCTATCATTGTGAAGTAAGTGTCTCCACTGAAAACTAAAGGATCGACTTAATCATAAACACAATACGAACAAATCCCAGCCCAGAAAGAACCATTTTTAATGAGTTGAGTTGAAGCCGGTGGTAATTCCCCTCTTGTACAGAAGATAAGTCATCTTTCCGCAACTTTTTCTTGAGTTGTGACTTTGTGATTTGGGGAATATAAATTTGAAGGTTGACATTTGTTCCATCACAAGCTAGTTCCAACGGATAAGAGAAATCGGAATATTAGGGAAAGGAGGAGGCCAGCCCCTTGAATCTACTCTGCCATTCAGCTGGATCTTAGCAGATTTTCCACCTCAGCACCATGTTCCTGCATTACCCTCCTATCCTTTGACAGCATTCCTCCTTCCTAAACAGTTTGATGTGAAGATCTGCCTTATCCCAGTCCATTCTCTCCAATCAGATTAATAACCATCCTATACAGAGAAAACACTGTGCTGATGGTTTGGCAAGGCAGTCTTGAATTAAACAAAAGCACTTGGGTACAATCATTCCTTGGTGCATTCTCCATGGCAACACCTTGACCAATCAGCAGCCACTTCTCATGCAATTCAAATTGTTGTTCCCTTTTAAATTTGGCATTCTTGCATCCATCCTGATGAGTGCAAAAGAGAGAAAGCTTCAATTACACGTTTCTCTTCAGCAATAATACATTAAATGTGTTCAAATGCAAGGATTGCAATTTCAGATTTGAAGTCAACTATTTTGAAGGTGGAAGCCAGTATTAAAAATGCAGGAGGGCCCAGTTTTGATCCCGACTGTACATTCAGTTTGCTGATCTCAGCCAGCTCAATGTTGGGAGGTTTTGTACTTGGAGCTCTTTGATTAGGGTGGACAATTTTGGGCAGCTCGCTCCGTTTGATCCCCACTGGAAAATGGATGTACCTGTGGGTTTTAAGTTATGACCCCCTTCAAGTTCAACAATGTCTCAAAACCTGATAGGCTCAGAGTTGAAGTCAAGGAATTTAGGTAACCATGGAGAGAGGTGGGCACTGGCACCGTGTTGTCTGTTTCCACATGCAACAAGAATCTGACACACTCAAGCTTGGGCCGATAGGTTGCAATTACAATTCTCGCTGCACAAGTGCCAGGCAATGAAACATCTCCAACATGGCAGAGTCCCTCACTGATCAGTCACCGAATCACGCAGCATTAATGTCCTTGGGGGCTGTCATTAAAACTGAAGCAAGCCTCTCCTAGAAATATTGCAGTTTCAAGAGCAGGTCTGAGCCTGGGAATTCTGTGGTAGCTGCCTCCTACCTTCTCATTTACAAGGCACGAGTCAGAAATGTGATGGAATACTCCTCATGTGCTTGGAGGAATGCAGCTTCGATAACACTCGGACATTAACCCATCCAGGACAAAGCAGCCTGCTTGATTTACACCATAGTCACATTCACTTCCTCCACCACCAGCGCTCAGTAGCAGCAATGTGTACAAGCTACAAGATGCACTGTAGTAATTCACTCGGGCTCTTCCAGCAGCACTTTCCAATTGCAAAACCACTTCCATCTAGGAGGATACCGGGCAGCGGATACATGGGAACACCACCACCTGCAAGTTCCCCTCTGAGCCACTCACCACCCTGACTTGGTGTCACTGGGTCAAAATTCTGAAATTCCCTCCCCTAATGGCATTGTGGGTCAACCTATAGCACATGGCCATGGGATTGGAAGGTACTGCTGGAAGAGTGTGAGTGAGTGACCGCAGCGCATCTCGTAGATAGTACACAGCGCTGCTATTGAGCCCCGGCAGTGGTGGGTGTGAATATGGTGTCAGTCACCCAGGCTGCTTTGCCCTGGATGGGGTTTGAGCTTCTTGAGTGTTGTTGGGGCAGCACCCATCGAGGAGCATCCCATCACCCTCTGGAACAGGGAGGCTGTGAACAGGAGCAGTTGCTGTGCAGCACTGTGTTGTGATCAATGACAGATGCCCGCAAATTATTGCTTCTGGGGAGACTGTGCAAGCTAGTCGGGTCACTGGACCAGCAATCCAGAGGGCCAGCTAATGCTCTGAGGTCATGGATTCAAATCCCACAACGGTAGCTGGTGTAATTTAAACTGAATTAATAATTTAAAACTAGTCTCCAAATGGTGACCATGAAACTATAATCGATCGTCATAAAAATCCATTTGGTTCAGTGATGTTGTTTATGGAAGGAAATCTGCTGTCCTTACCTCATCTGTCCTCCATGTGACTCCAGACTGGGTTTACTGCCCTCTGCATTGGCTGTGCAAGTCACTCAGTGTAAGGTAGCCAGGGAAGTGCTGGCTGTACCAGTGACACCCTGTCCCACAAAAGAATAAGCAATTTCACCAAATGACCGTATTTTTCAGTTCGTTCCAATATATTGAATGATTTATTGAGTCCCCTTGTTGCTGGAATGCAGGTGCATTGCGCAGTGAAGGAGGCAAATGGTCTGTGGCCTTCATAGTGAGGGGTGTCTTGCTGCAGTTGTACAGGGCTTTGGTCAGATCACACCTGGAATATTGTGTGCAGTTTGGCTCTCCTTATTTGAGGAAGGATGCTCTGGCTGTGGAGGGAGCACAGCAAAGGTTTACCAGACTGATCCCTGGGAAGGCAGGGCGACTGTATGAGGAGAGACTCGATCAGTTGGGATTATATTTAGTGGGGTTTGGAAGAGTGAGGGGGAATCTCATAGAAACCTATAAAATGCTAACAGGACTAGACAGGGTATACTCGGGAAGGACGTTCCCAATGGCAGGTCAGTCCGGCACTAAGGGTCATAGTCTCAGGACACAGGGTGGACCATTTAGGACAGAGCTGAGGACAAATTTCAAAAATGTTTAGACGGAGTAAGCACAGGATGGATGTTCCCAGTAACTGGGGCGGTCGAGAACTGGGGGTCACAGTTTAAAGATACAGGGTAGTCCCCTTATGACCAAGATGAGGAAAACGTTCTTCACCCAGAGAGTGGGGAGCCTGTGGAATTTACTGCCAGAGAAAGCAGCTGAGGCCAGCACATTGAATGTTTTCAAGAAGGAGTTAGATATGGGGCTAAAAGGATCAAAGGGTATGGGGAGAACGCAGGAACAGGAGACTGAGATGAGCCACGATCATGTTGAATGGTGGAGCAGGCTTGATGGGCTGAATGGCCTACTCCTATTTCCTGTGAATCTCTTAGCCTGCTCTGATGTAATTGTTTTTTTTTTCCGCTGTAACATCACTTTGATGCCTGTTCTCACTGTTGCTAGGACTGTGGCCTGGAGCTGAATGATGAAGAGGATCACCGTTGCTACCCCTTGGATGGACACTTGCTCTGTCACACATGTCACCTGAAGCACATTAACAGTAGAACACCTGGCACCATCTACCAGCCCAAGTACTAGCCCTTCCTCGAGGCAGAGTCTTAATGCCCACCAGTTCGGATTGACACTGAAGCTGCAACAAAAAAAAACCCTCCCCTCCCCCAGCATCATCATCTGAGGAGTCTAGGTAATGACGGCCTCCAACATAACCTTCCTCATCCACTGAAGGGGAACAGAAACAAGAAACAGGAGCCAGCTCTCAGTGTGTAACGATCCTTCAAAGACTCAGTTGTTTACTACATTTTAACAAGACTGATCAGCTGACGATCCCCATGTTACAGAATTGCAGTGTCGCCAAAAGTCAGGAGCCAGTTGTCACACCAAATTGTATTGAAGTCAGCTTCACGTGAACATCCTGTAGGACTTTTTTTTTAAAATAAGGTTTCACACAACGTTTTGAATTTGTCACATAACTGCATTCCCAGAATAGGGAATAGATCCATGTCGAAAAGTCGGTTGGAGTGTCGTGTGGACAAACATTGGCGCAGGGGGGATCTCACTGGCCCACCGATCCTGAAATCCAGGCTGAGGACACTGGTTCAAATCCAGCCACGGTAGCTGGTGGAATTCTTCAAATGTGTTCAATAAATCTGGAATTAGAAGCTGGTCTCCCAGCAGTGACCCTGATGGGCATCCTCGATTTGTTGTAAAACCCCATCTTGGTTCGCTCATGTCCTGTTAGGAAATCTGTCATCCTTAGCTGGTCTGGGCCTACGTGTGACTCCAGACACTCAGCAACATGTTTGACTCTTACCTGCCCTCTGAAATGGCCCGAGCAAGTTGCTCAGTTCAAGGGCAATTCGAGACGGGTAACAAATGCTGGCCTAGCCAACAATGCCCATGAAAGATTAGAAAAAGTGTTATGGTTGTCACGTTGGTGAGGCAAAAACCTGTTGAGAATTTGAACACCTAGAACACCTACGTTCGGTTCGCAATAAACAGGTGCACCTCCCAGTCGCGAACCATTTCAACTCCCCCTCCCATTCCTCAGACGACATGTCCATCCTGGGCCTCCTGCAGTGCCACAACGATGCCACCCGAAGGTTGCAGGAACAGCAACTCATATTCTGCTTGGGGACCCTGCAGCCCAATGGTATCAATGTGGATTTCACAAGCTTCAAAATCTCCCCTCCCCCTACCACATCCCAAAACCAGTCCAGCTCGTCCCCGCCTCCCTAACCTGTTCTTCCTCCCACCTATCCCCTCCTCCCACCTCAAGCCGCACCCCCATCTCCTACCTACTAACCTCATCCCGCCCCCTTGACCTGTCCGTCCTCCCTGGACTGACCTATCCCCTCCCTAACTCCCCACCTACACTCACCTTTACTGGCTCCATCCCCGCCTCTTTGACCTGTCTGTCTCCTCTCCACCTATCTTCTCCTCTATCCATCTTCTATCCGCCTCCCACTCTCTCCCTATTTATGTCAGAACCCCCTTCCCCTCCCCCTTTTCTGATGAAGGGTCTAGGCCCGAAACGTCAGCCTTTCTGCTCCTATGATGCTGCTTGGCCTGCTGTGTTCATCCAGCCCTGCACCTTGTTGTCTCGGATTCTCCAGCATCTGCAGTTCTATCTCTGAGAATTTGAACCTTCTCTGAGGTAATCTTCAATAACATGTTTCCTGCTCTTTGGCAAAGACGTTTTCCAGGTGAATGTATTATGGTCATAAAGAAGCAATCCATCAACTCCCCTGATCTTGGTTGGGACATTGTGCTCTTCCTATGTTGAAGTGGCATGCAAGCTTTAAAAATTTGGCTTCCAAATCCTCCTCCTCCTCCTCTTTCCCCAGCTTAAACCCTTCCCCGAAACTGTCACGATTGGGTATATTAATGCATTTTGTCTATTAACATCAACTGCCAATGTACCTGATGTTTTAAGACAAAATGATTATTTTGGCCCCAAGAGAATGTTTTAAGTTGTCGGGATAGAGTCTGGAATGTGTCCACCGAGTCACAGAACAGTCACGGCTCTGAGTGAGGTCGTTCAGCCCATCTTGCCCGTGCTGGTCCTCTTCAAGAATGTGTTTGTATCCTTGACGGTTCTCAATCCTACGAGATTCATAACGTGTTGCATGAACTGTAACATGGTCTGTACCCCAAAAAAAATCTCTAAAGTAGAAAAGTAAGATTTAAGCATGTTTTAAACTTCAAAAAAAAATCCCTAAGATCAGATACTGTTTAGAAAGTGCTTTAAGTGGTTTTTGTTTTCACAAATTTCAATTACATCAGCAGCCTTCAAAATGAACAGCCCATATGCATCACCCATTGCCTTCCAAATAAATTAGTCTGGGCTCAGATGTTTTTTTCACTGCAATTATTGGTAGCAAAGCTCTTCTCTGTACAAGGGCTGAGAAAGTAACATTCTCAGGAATGTCTTTCTTACACTGCCCTTCATTATGGTTTAGATAGAGGTCATTCTACTCATTAGATCCTGACCAGCTCTCTGCAGGGCAAACCAGTCAGTTCCATTCTCCCGCTCTGTCCCTGTAGTCCTGCAGGTTGCTGACCCCTCCCCCCAGCTGACCATCTCTGTTCCCACTACCTTCCTGTGTGGTAAGTTCCAAGCCATCACTTGCATGACTAACCAAATGAAAGTTTTTCCTCATATTGGAGGCCTTTTTATTTTGGTGGACTCATATCAAAGCGTTAAACTCGTGAGAAACAAGTTAATAATACACTGTAAGTCAAAACACCGTACGAAGAACAAACCACTGTGATCAGTCCACTTGCCAACCAATCAGCAGTCTTCTCTCCTCCAACATAAATATGGGTTTTCCCCGTAAATTGGTATTCTTGCAAATTATCCTGATGAGTACAAGACTGAACAAAATGTGTCTGTTTTTCAGCAATGCTCGAGCTCTGCACTACCAAACAACTATATGAAGTATAAGACCTTACTTTCTTTTTATATAAAAATAACTTGTTTCATTCAAATATCCATGGCACCGTGCGCAGTAACATGATGTTTCTGGTTTGGACCGTGACATAATATGAAAGGGCTGTCATAATTGGATTAAAATCTGGACTCTGGGATCTCTCAGCTTGAATTCAGTCCAAACAGGGTGAAGATCTCTCTGCTGTAAGGTTTCTCTGGGAAGTGACAGTGAATGTCCCCGTGGATATGAAGCTGCTGTGAAGATCGTTGAACGTGGCCTCCAGGAGGCGTGCCTGTACACACCGGACTATTCAACCAATGGAGTTAGAGCTGAATTTTGACTGTGGCACATTAGTTTTCCATACGATACACCTGTATGTTGGTTTGAATGTTGTGGTGCAATAGTATTTTGTGCTTGAGAGTAGCACTTGCTGACAATGCACTATATTCCAGTCCTTTACCGCAGCCTCTGATGGGGGTTTTACTAGCTAGGGGGAGTGGGGACAGTGAGGGTAGATATGTTAGGGAGGTGGCAGTCAAATCAACAGTAATCCTGGTTTATTTTCCAATGCTCACCTGGTTTGAGAATTTACAATTAAAAAGGAAGAATAAACTTGAATGAATATCTGTGTGTGTGAGAATTATATTTGTTTGTTACTAATTTAAATTATGCGGTGTTAAATATTAGAGGAAAAATTCTATTGAGGAAAGAGTAAAAGAATGCTAAACTTGGCTGTTGATCTTTTGGATGTGCTACTGAGGTAATTTCTAATTTAAGCCTTAAATAACCACAGTTTCATCATGGTATGATCCTAGCTTATGGTAATATTGGAAAGGTTGGATCCCAATATGAAACCTGGCTTGATAGACCATAAGTTTTACTTTTGCAATGTGGTTACAAGTCTCTGTAATTTGTTAATTTGAGTTACCAAGTTCAACCAAATGTGAATTTGGTTGAGCAGTCAGTCACTGAACATATTCACAAGAGGCTGCCAATGTCCTTCTAATAAATTAGCGAAAGTTTATTACACACAAGAGAAAAATATGAATTATTTTACACTCTACAAGAGCAAGTCAAAAGCGTCTCATTACATTCTTAATTTAGGGGAAGGCAATGGCCTAGTGGTATTATCACTGGACTGTTAATCCAGAGACCCAGATAATGTTCTGGGGACTGGGGTTCAAATCCCACTGTGGGGATTTGATGATGGTGGAAATTGAATTCAATAAATTAAGAGCCTAATGATGACAATGAAACCATTGCCAATTGTCAGGGGAAAAACCCATCTGGTTCACGAATCCCCTTTAGGGAAGGAAATCAGCCATCCTCACCTGGTCTGGCCTACATGTGACTCCAGACCCACAGCGATGTGGTTGACTTTTAACTGCCCTCTGGGCAATTAAGGATGGGCAACAAATGCTGCCTAACCAGTGATGCCCTCATCCTGTGAATGAATAAAGAAAAAAATTACAAATATCATAAATAAATATTCATCTCTCTTATTCTCAACAACAACCTAACAGATACTCAAACCTCTGTGAAGTGTCACTCTGCCTCCACGTCTCTTTCTCAGCTGTTTCTGCAGCTTTCTTCTAACTGCCTTCTAAACAGTTCCCAAATAAACTTTTCCATACCTTTTGCTTCCAGCAATTTTCTGCTTCTGGAGTTTTCTCCCAAGCTAATCAAGATTTTTTTTATCAGCTATGACTATTTGGAGACTACTCAACTAAACAGCATATTTTCACACTCTGACTGGATCTGCACACACTTCCTGACCCCCTGGATAGTTCTGCCTTTCTGTGATCATAGGACACCTGTTTGAGAGGCAACAACAGTTTTGTTTTCTCTTCTACCCTTGTTTCTAATGCACTGAACTGTTCACCTCCAGGGTTTGAAAGACCTCATTTAGATGCACGGAAAGAAAACTTAAGACAATCTGGCAGAACAAATCTAACCTGCAAACGGTATGGAAATACAAATCAAATGCAAAGTTTCACAGCAAACTACTGTGAATGCTGGCGTTCCGCAATAAAAACATTGACTCAGTTCTGGCAGTATCTGTGAACAGTGAAACAGTTAACAAGAGACCCTGCTTCACGTAAGGAGACTTTCAATTTCTAAGTTACCCATCTCTGCATTATCTGTTCCAATGATACTACTTTACACGTCCTATTTTTTTCCTCAACTGAGACAGAGCCTTCAGCTGTGCCCAGCACCTTCCCTGCACTTCTGTCCTCACTCCTCCTCACTCCTTCCCCTTCCTCCCAGAACACTAGGATTCCCCCATGTCCTCACTTTCCACCCCACTTGTCTCTACGTTCCAAGGCTTCTCCATCATTTGTCACCTCCAGCAGGATGCCACCACCAAATGTATCTTCCCCTCTGTTATCAGTATTCTGCAGGGACTGTTTTTCGCCAACCCCCTCCCCCCTCCCCCCATGTCACCCTGGTTCACTCCTCCCTCACTCCAAACACTTCCTTAACACTCAATGGCTCCTTTTCATGCAATTGGAAAAGCTGTAACACTTGCCATTTTTTTCTTCCTCCCTCACTGTCCAAGGCTCTGAACGAATCTTTCACACGAAGCAGTGTTTTACTTGACCTGCTTTCAATCTAGCACTACTTTGGCTGCTCATAATGTGGTCTCTTCTTGCCAAGGCCAGACTCAGTCTGGGTGACTACTTTGCAGAATACTTCCAATCTGAGAAATCTGCCATCCTTGCCCAGGTCTGGGTTATGTGTAACTCCAGACCCACAACAATGTGGTTGACTCTTAAACCCTGTCTGGGCAATAAAAGACACATCCAAGGGAAGAGGTGGCTAAAATGACGCTGAAAGCAGGTCAGACTAGGGGGACACTTGCTTATTTTAAAAAAAAATTGTGTGTATCCCACTTAAAACAGGGCTGAGGATTATTTCCTCTCAGAGGTTCATTGGTCTTTGGAACTTTCTTCCTGAGCAAGCAGTAAAGGCTCATTGGTCATTGAGTATTTCGAAGGCAGAGGTAGGTAAGAATGTGGATGGGGTTACAAATAGATTAGCCATGGTCTTATCGAATGGCACTGCATATGGTCTGTTCCTGCTCCTATATCATGTTTGTATGTGAAGGCTGTGATGATGATTCACAATATATCATCATTTGGAACCTTGGGTCCTAAAGTGACAAACGATGTAAACTTTTGAATAGAGAATACTGGAGAAACTCAGCAGGTCTGACAGCATCTATGGAGAGGGAAACAACGCCAGCATTACAAGCAATATGACTTATTTGCAACTGGTGGGGGTGGGGTGTTGGAAAATTGTTTTTTTTTAATATACCCATATATGCCATATGCAGTGCCATTCAATAAGACCATGGCTAATTTAATTGTAACCCCATCCACATTGTTACCTACCTCTGCCTTTGAAATACTCAATGACCAATGAGCCTTCACTGCTCGTTCAGGAAGACAGTTCCAAAGACCAATGAACCTCTGAGAGGAAATAATCCTCAGCCCTGTTTTAAATGGGGGACACACAATTTTTATTAAAATAATGAAGTGTCCCTCTAGTCTGACCTGCTGTCAGTACCATTTTAGCCTTCCCTCCCATGGAATGTCATTTATTGCCCAGACAGTGTTTAAGAGTCAACCACATTGTTGTGGGTCTAGAGTTACAAATAAGCCAGACCAGGGTAAGGATGGCAGATTTCTCTTCCCTAGGGAACCAAATGGATTTTTATGATAATTGATGATAGTTTCACAATCATTGCTAGACTCTTAATTCCAGATTTTTGTTGGCTTTCACCAGCTGCAATAGTCGGATTTGAATCTCTATCCCCTGACCATTAGCCTGAAATTCTCAGTTGACTATTCCAGTGATGTTACCACTACACCATTGTTCCCCCCCCCCCGCCATTACTTTACCATTTGAAGCACTGATCTTTTTAATGACTGTCAATGCAGGGGAATTGCCACAGCTGCTGGAGAAAGGGCCTTAGGGAATGGAATTCTGCCTTGGGTTAGCGTTATCCTCTAGCAATCTCTCTGAATCTTGATGGACTCTTGACTCCTAAACTCCTTTGGTAACAACATTTATCCACATTTGAATCACTACTTCATGTGAAATATTCCTGCAATGTCTCATCATCATACTCTTTAGGCTAGTAATTCATGACATAATTGAGCGCTGAGCAGCACATGCTTACGATTTTCCCACTCAGTCCTCTGGCAGACATTCTCATGTCACTTGTTGATGTAAAGTAATTCACAGGTAACTCTGTAGCTAGAACTCAATCAGTCCTCGGCAGCGAAAAGCATTACTTTTGCTTTAATGCCACACTCCTGAGATTGATCTGGGACTTTCTTCAACTTTACGATGTTCTCTTTCCCTGTCTTACCATTCAGTTTAATATCATTCAAGAAGCAGCACTTGCCCTTTATCTCACCTATTACTTGTTCTTTGACACTCTGGAAAACTACAACTGCAGTGGATTCTCCACTGCTAACCTTTCGCACTGCTACAACAGTATGGCAGGCAATCCATTGCTCTTGTAAGTTGATACTAATTGCTCCACCACCGACACTCAGTAACAGCAGTGTGTACTATCTACAAGATGCACTGCAAAAATTCACCAAAGATCCTCAGACAGCACCTTCCAAACCCACAACCACATTCCATCTAGAAGGACAAAGGCAGCAGGTATAATTGAATACCACCACCTTCAAGTGCCCCTCCAAGCCACTCACCGTTCTGACTTGGAAGCATATCGCCATTCCTTCACTGCCAGTGGGTTGAAATTCTGGAATTTCCCACCCCCACCGTGGCATTGTGGGTTTACCTGCTGCACATGGACTGCAGCAGTTCAAGAAGGCAGCTCACCCCACCTTCTCAAGGGCAACTAGGAATGGGCAATAATTGCTGCCCAGCCAGCAACACCCACATCTCTCATGTGAATTAAAACAAAATGAATCTGGTGGTTAATTTACAAAATGAATTGCCACAGGTAGACAACGAATAAGTATTGTTCTTCGTCACCTTGTTTATATCTCCTCAAATCTGAATGGTGTTGATAGAATCCAAGCTGGTTGGTGAGAATGAAGCCAAGAGACATTTTTGTAGAGAGAGTTATTCACTTCCTCAGTCTTACCCACTCATCCCACACCCAGTGTCCCAGATGCTCCCTATTAATATGTACTCAGACAATTAACAGCCATGACTTGTTTCCTTTTGAAAAATTATTTATTTAACCTATTTTCCGTCATCAACATGTTCAGAGATGTTATAACACACTTCTGGAGCAGGTGGGACTCGAACCCAGGTCTCTTGGTTCAGAGGTAGAGACACAGTCACTGCACCCCAAAAGGACTCTGCTGTTTCTTTTAACCATCAATAAAGACATTAACCAACAGACCTGGCCACTTTTGACAATAATTGATAGTGGTTACATGGCCACCATTTAATTCCAGCTTTTTTTTTTAATTGATTGCAAATTTAACCATCTCCCAACGGTGGGATTCAAACCCCTTTCTCACAGACGTTAGCCTGGGGTTCAGGATTTAAATCCAGTGACATTACCACTACTTCCTTGCTGTCTGGCCTTTGAATAACAACAATGGGTGCAGCTCATTCACTGCTTTTCACCTTC